CTACCATTACCCTTACTCTTCATCCAAAATCCTCACCCCTACTCCCCAACTGGAGCGTACAGTACGGTACCTGTAACGACCCGACCGGTCGTTTTGAGCTCTTGTGATGACCCAAAAGGTCATCACTTGTTTTTAAATCGAATTCTGCATTTCAAGGCCTTAAAAACCTCTTTTAGCATTACCTCGATTTGCGTGCGCAGTCCGGGTGCGTAGCCGAAAAACCTATATGTGAAATTCTGTAAAAAATGATAACTTGTGACTATAAAATGAATTAATTTGACTTCGGTCAACGTTTTGGGTAAACGGTCCCGGACCCGTGATTTGACAGTCCCATAGGGTCCGTAGGAAAATATGGGACTTGGGCGTATGCCCGAAATCGAATTCCGAGGTCCCAGGCCCGAGAAATAAATTTTTAAAGAAAATTATTTTCTGAAATTGTTTATAAGGTTTGGAAATGAATTTTGATTAGAACATGTTAGTATCGGGCCCGTATTTTGGTTCTGGCACCCGGTACAGGTCTTATATATGATTTAAGATAATTCTGTGAAGTTTGGTAAGAAACGGAATCCGTTTGATGTAATTCGGACCTTAAATGCAAATTTGACGTTTAAAGATGTTTTGGGAAATTTCATTGATCTTGAGGTTTAATTCGATGTTCATGATGTTATTTTGGTGATATGAGTACACGAATAAGTCCGTAGGATATTTTTGAGGTTGTGCGTATATTTGGTTTGGAGACCCGAGGGCTCAGGTGAGTTTTGGATAGGCCACGGGGTGCATTTTGAACTTAGAAAATTTCAGGATTTTTGCTGGTGTGATCAGGCTTACAGGCTTCGCATTTGCGAAGTCTGGCTCGCAAATGCGAGGGCTTGGTCGCAAATGCGAATCAACCCAGGCCTGCCTTATCTCGCAAATGCGAGTTATGTTTTGCAATTCCGACCTCGCAAATGCGAGGATCCCCTTCGCAAATGCGATGTATGCTGGGAAGGACTTGAAGTCGAAAATGCAACATATTGTTCGCAAATGCGAAAAGTCCAGATTTCCTAAGGGTTCGCAAATGCGAGTTTCCCTTCGCAATTCCCAAGCCAGCAGAGGTCGGGGTTCGCAATTGCGAACTCCTGTTCGCGATTCCCACATCTGAGACCTACAACTTTTATACTTAGACAAATTTTAACCCATTTTTCATATTCTCTCTAAACATAAACACACTTAGGCGATTTTTCAAGGATTTCTTCTTCTCCAAATCAATTGTAAGTCGTTTTTAACTAACTTTCTTCAATTCTTAACATCTTTTAATATGATTTCTTCAAAACAATAATTTTCATGGGGGAAATTGGGTGTTTTGGGTAGAACCTAGGTTTTTCAAAAATTGGAGATTTGGACCTCGATTTGAGGTCCGATTTCAAAATAAATTATATATTTGAGTTCGTGGGGGAATGGGTAATCGGGTTTTGGTTCGAACCTCGGGTTCGACCATGTGGACCTGGGGGCAATTTTTGACTTTTTGGGCAAAACTTTGGAAAATTCATTTTCATGCATTCAAATTGATTCATTTAGCGCTTATTGATGTAATTAAGTAACTTGTGACTAGATACGAGCGAATTGGTGGTGGAATCAAGGGGTAAAGCTATAATCTAATCGTGAATTGTGTTCGTGGCATCGAGGTAAGTGTTTGGTCTAACCTTAGCTTGAGGGATTAGGAGTTGTGTCTATTTGCTACGTGTTACTTGTGGAGTACGATGTATAGGCATGGTGACGAGTATCTATACGTTGGTGTCAAGCATGCCCCTGAGTCTTGTGTTATAATTTGTTATGACTCCGTTGTGGTTTATTATGCCTCACATGTTACTATCATCATTGTTCCCTTGCCGGGATGTTTGTTTGATATTATTGTTTCCTTGTCGGGACATTGTTGAGATATCATTGTTCCCTTGCTGGGATGTTGTTAAAATATTAAATGTTCCCTTGCCGTGAAGTTATTATGTTGTTCTTGTTCCCTTGCCGGGATTCCTTGTGATTATTGTTGGTTGTAAATGGGAGCGGGTGGTATGCCTACCACAAGATATAATGAAATGGGAGCGGGTGGTACGCCTACCACGAGATATAATAAAATGGGAGCGGGTGGTACGCCTACCACAAGATATAATGAAATGGGAGCGGGTGGTACGCCTACCACGAGATACATGAAATGGGAGCGAGTGGCACGCCTGCCACGAGATACATGAAATGGGAGCGGGTGGCACGCCTGCCACAAGATATGAGAAATGGGATCGGGTTGCACGCCTGCAACAAGATGTGAAAAGAAAGTGAAATCTGCCTTTGTTTTTCTTTATTCTTGTTAGTGATTGGATTTTTTATTCCTTTATATTCTATTGATATTCTGTTTTTACCTGTTTTTCCCCGAAGCATGTTTCTCCCTCCCATCTTTACTTATTTATTTCCGTATTTCTTTTCCGCTATATATATTTGAACTGCACAGGTTTATTTGGTAGTCTGGTCCTAGCCTCGTCACTACTTCGCCGGGGTTAGGCTAGGCACTTACCAGCACATGGGGTCGGTTGTGCTGATATTACACTCTGCACTCTTTTGTGCAGACCCACCGTTGTGGACTTCGGACCGTAGTGAGATTGCTGATTCTTAATCGTCAGCCGACCCGAGGTAGTTCTGCAGGCGTCCGCAGGCCTTGGCGTCTCCTTCTATCTAATGTTCCTGTTTCTTTCATGTATTTCTAGAGACAGTGTTGTATTTATTTCTTTCAGACCCCTTTATTTGTAGTATTCTTAGACCGTCTGTGAAACTGTGACACCAGTTCTGGTAGTCGAGGCTCAAACAGTTGTATTAGATAATCATGTTCAGATAGCTTATTGTTTATTTCTTCCGCTTATGTTAAATTTCGTTGTTTAAATGTTATTATTTCGAAATTGTTACTGAATAAAAAATGGGTAAAAAGGTAAATTGTGCAATTAATTTGCTTGCCTAGATCGTATTAGTAGGCTCCATCACGACCCCCGAGGGTGGAAATCCGGGTCATGACAGCCTCGAGCAGGTCCGCGTTATGTTTTAGAACTGGTTGGTATAATGGGACAGGGTCCCAGGGGCCTCGGGTGGATTCCGGGTGATTAACGGATCTAATTTGGAGTTTGAAGAAGAATATTGAGGTTGTTGGCATCTGGTGTAACCGCACCTGCGATCTTTTGGCCGCAGGTGCGGAGCCGCAGAAGTGGCCTAGGAGTCGCAGAACTGCCCAGGTGAAGGACCGTAGGTACGGAGCCTTAACCGCATCTGCGCAAGCGCAAAAGCAAAATGAAGGCCGCAGAAGCGTCAATGGGCACAGGTTCGAAGTAGCACCACAGAAGCGGAGGCGTAGAAGCGGCGAGGAGTCCGCAGGTGCGGAAGTCGCTGAGTAGAACGCATTAAATAGTGGGGTTTGGCCATTTTTGCTCATTTTCTCCATTCTTAGGCGATTTTTGAAGCTTCTTGAGAGGGTCTTCCACCTAGCAACTTGGAGTTTTGGAGCGTTGGGCATCGGTTTGAGTCATCTGAAGGGCTTGGAAGCCGGTTATGGAACTTCGGAGTGAGGTAAGTCTCCTTTCTAACCTTGTAAGAGGGAATCATCCCCATAGGTGAAGTAATTAAATATGTGCTCTATTTGTGGGGGCTACATACGCACGAGGTGACGAGAGTCCGTGCGTAGCTACTATTATGCTTAAGTCCGGGTAATCTAGGACCAAAAAGCATGCTTTGCTTGTCGTACTTGTAATTTTATTGACAATTTAAAAGGCTTAAATCATATCAAACTTGGTAAATAAATTTCTAAAGGACTAAACATCACTTTCTTGACTGATAAAAGAGAAGTTGTCATTTCCTTAGGTAATTGTTTCCCTGATGAAGTCTTGATTAGCTGTTTGAATGTGTGTATCTATGTGTACCCGCGTCGCACGTATGATTCGCGAGCGGGATAATTGTTTTATTTATATTTGACCGCATCGCATGTATGATTCGCGAGCGGAGTAATAGATACATCTATGGTTCGCGCCATTCGACCCTCTGGCAGTGCACAGTTTAAATATTATGTTGTATCGGGCCGTACGACCTCGGCATTATTTGCGCATGACCTGACTGATTGTTTTGAAATTATTAATAATTGATATGGCCTCATCGGTCGGAGGTGTAAATTGTTAAAAGGTAAAAAAAATAAGTTTGAAGATTTCTATTAACAAAAGAATTGTTTACCTACTTCATGATTATTGAGTTGCAGTTGCCTTATAAAACCCATGATTTTCTTTATATTATTGGTATTATATTGTTGGACCACTAGTAAGTGTCGAAGTCAACCTCTTGTCTCTACTTCTTCGAGGTTAGACTGGATACTTACTGGGTACGCGTTGTTTTCGTACTCATTCTACACTTGATGTGCATTTTTGTTGCACATGCACATGTATGTCTAGTGGCCTCGTTAGGCGCAGCGACATGATCGATACAGAGACTTAGGAGAGCTGCATCTCTTAGGACGACCCGCAGCCAGCAGAGTCTCTTTCAGAGTATTGTATTTTCTTTTCTGTCCAACTTATATTCCGGACAGGTATTGCATTACATTTTATTTCCTAGAAATTGCTCATGCACTTGTGACACCGAATTCTGGGATGTATATGGGATTATCCAGTATTGAAGATTTGTTAAAGACATAATTATTTACTCGGTGAAGTTCATTATTTACCTTTTAATGTAAGGAAAAGAAATGATTTCAAAAAAACTAAAATGAGACTTTAATTAACTTCTTGGTATTGGCTTGCCTGGCACTGGTGTCCGGCGCCATCACAACCCTACCCTACCCAACGCCCTACCCTTAAACAGCCCTACTTGTATCTAATAATGATTGTGGACACTTAAAAAAACAAATAAGGGGAACATGTTCTTGGAATTTTAATTAAGCATGTACATCAGTATACTTTTGAAATTTGAATAGTTATCTCTTTGAAAGAAAGTAAAATGCCCAAAGATAACATGCAAAGAAGATCACTCACCAATAATAGGAGTCATGTCTTCTTACTCAAATAAAGGACCATCATTAAATTGGCTTTACTATGGATCCTACAATAGGGAACTTCCATAGTTCCATTCCCAGTACAACAACCTGAAATATACTAATTACGGACACATACAGAAAGATCACGAAACCACTGACAGTACCAAAAACTACATAGGTGCATGGAAGCTACCACGAGAGACATACTACAGGATGACATAATCGAAGAGGTGCCGAAAAAACCAAGTGTGACTAGAGGTACAAAAGCAGATCTCCGTTAACTGGACTAACAGACTCCGCTTGTCTTCTTCCCTGCTATTTTCCTCCAATGCTTGAGTATGTCTTTCTGAGTCTCTACAATATCTGTGTGAAACTGATGAAGCCCATCACCCTTATCACTATGCACTTCCTCCGCAGTGACACGGGCAGCCTTTGTGGGTAAGCGAGGTGGATGTGTATCCAACTCTTTCAGAACATTCTTAATGTCGGATACAAGTCTCTCTGCTAAGCTGTGGCTGAAGTCCTCTCTAACGACAACACGCAGAACAGCAATGTGTTCAGCATCCGGTGGCATGGTGTATGCTGGGACGATCCATCCGAATCTTCTAAGATGCTCAGACACTTCAAACACAGTATATTTGCTGCTGTCCTTCAGAGAAAATGCTACTACAGGCACTCCGACATCCTTAGAGACGATATGAAACCGGCCCATTTTTGTGATTCCCTCCGTTAGTACTTTTGCATTTGCCATGCAATTCTCCATGATGCTCTTATAACCCTGCAAGATCAGAACCGAAAGTGTGAAAATTTCCATGTAGGTTAAGCAACAGTCATGAATCAAAAATTTCAAGGCGAACGATGTGATTGATGGCAGGTTATATATCTTTTGGTTCCCAGATATCAGTTTGAAAACTAACAAACTTCCACTGGTTTCTTCCACTAACTATTCCTGAGTAACATTTATTTTTCTAAATTCACAGATATTCTGCAGTGATGATGGAATTTTAATTTTACAGGACTAAAAGGCAAACACAATAAGAATAAGAATCTGCTTTCAGAAAGAACTCAGCTCCAGGTAATTATTTACAGGCTTAGAGAAACAGAGGATCTCAGTAATTACCTGAAAGCCAAGTCTTATTAACTGATAATACTGGGCAATTATTTGATAGGAACCTGAAATTGGAAGATAAAGCATTAAAGCTTAACATCAACATGAGATCTCAAGCGGGAACGTCAAGAACTGCTTGAAATGGCAAAGCATTACTTATTTAATCACGTTGCATATGAAGAACATTTGATATTACCTTTAGAAAAGTTGAGAGTAAAGGTTGGCTGATCAGATCCGAGGTAATTTATATGAAACACGAGCTCCTCGGGCAAATCTTCCTTGCTCCGCCATATTACCCAACCAACACCAGCATATACGAGGCCATACTTGTGACCACTGACGTTTATACTTTTCACCAAAGGCAAGCGAAAATCCCATTCAAGATCTGGCCACAGGAAAGGAGCAATAAATCCTCCACTGGCGGCATCGACATGGATCGGTGTATCCCATCCAGTTTCCTTGTTCTTTTTTGCAAGGAGTTCGTTAAGGAGCTTCACATCCTCAAATTCCCCAGTAAGGGTGGAACCAAGAATTGCAGCAACACATATTGTATTCTCATCTACCAACTCTACTGCTTTAGCAGGGTCCATTACATAGCATCCTTCTTTTAATTTCACCTCCTTCAATTCAACCTCAAAGTACCTTGCAAATTTTTCCCAGCAGACCTATACGCCATAAATTCAGACAGAAATTTTTCAACAGAATTAAAGACAACATATAACAGCGAAACTTAACTTTAGTATTCATGCGGATCTAAACTAATGGGGTTTCGGTAGTTAAACTTGTACTCGACGGGTGACAAGGGACCAGTATTAACAATTCACACAAAATATTTGGTTAAATGAAGCTACTTCCATCTGATCAGATTTAGTCCAAAAAGTACATCTAGAAGAATAAAGAGAGAAGTCCAATTGGAGTTACAGAAATTAACAAGTCATCCTAAAAGCACAAGCAACCCCAATCTGAGAAGTTAGTTATTGGAGGGGATTTTAATGGTCATATTGGGGCTAATGCTGGTGGTTATGGTGAGGTGCATGGTGGCTTTGGCCTTGGGGTTAGGAACGGCGGAGGCACTTCGCTGCTTGATTTCGCCAGGGCTTTCGAGCTTTTGATTGTGAACTCGTCATTTCAGAAGAGGGAGGAGCATTTGGTTACTTTCAAAAGTTCGGCGGCGAGGACTCAGATTGATTACCTCCTCAGAAGGAGCGATAGAGGGTTGTGCAAGGACTGTAAGGTTATTCCGGGAGAGTCCCTTTCGACTCTTCATAGACTCCTAGTGATGGATGTCGGTCTCTGGGTGAAGAGGAAGAGGAGGGGTGATCGGGGTAGGCCGCGGATTAGATGGGGAGCTTTGACTAAGGAGAAAGCCCAGGAGTTGGAGAGGAGGTTAGCTGATGGTGGAGCTTGGAGAAGTTCTGGGGAAGCGGACGCAATGTGGTCAGAGACGGCGAACTTGGTTAGGGAGGCAGCGCGGGATGTGGGTAGGGCTATTCAGGCAGACATCAAGGTGACTGGTGGTGGAACGATGTAGTCCAAGGAAAAGTGGAGGCGAAGAAGGCGGCGTTTGCTAAGTTGAGAATGGGGGAGAAAGGCGGGGAAGGAAGTTATTCAGGTTGGCTAAAGTGAGGGAGAGGAAGCGGGTTGCCGGGCCGCTCCACTACAGAAGCTATCCACCTTGTCAGGAGATTGGTGGAACACTTCAGGGATAAGAAGAAGGACCTGCACATGGTGTTTATCGACTTGGAGAAGGCGTACGACAAGGTCCCAAGGGAGGTGCTATGGAGGTGTCTGGAGGCGAAGAGCGTGCCGGAAGCCTACATCAGAGTGATCAAGGACATGTACAATGGAGCTAAGACTAGGGTTAGGACGGTGGGTGGCGACTCAGACCATATCCCGGTGGTAATGGGGCTTCATCAAGGATCTGCACTTAGCCCTCTCTTATTTGCTTTGGTGATGGATGGTATAACACGCCATATTCAAGGGGATGTGCCATGGTGTATGCTATTTGCTGATGACATAGTCCTGATAGACGAGACGAGGGTCGGTGTTAACGAGAGGTTGGAGGTCTGGAGACAGACTCGAGAGTCCAAGGGTTTCAAACTAAGCAGGGCTAAGACAGAGTACCTGGAGTGCAAGCTTAGCGCCGAGCCGAGCGAAGTAGGCAGAGACTTCAAGCTTGGATCTCAGGTCATCGCCAAGAGGGACAGTTTCAGATATCTTGGGTCGGTGATTCAGGGGGACGGAGAGATCGACGGGGATGTCACTCACCATATAGGGGCGGGGTGGTCGAAATGGAGGCTTGCATCTGGAGTCTTGTGTGACAAGAAAGTGCCACAGAAACTCAAGGGGAAGTTTTATAGAGCTGTGGTTAGACCTGCCATGTTGTATGGGGCTGAGTGCTGGCCGGTGAAGAACTCCCATATCCAGAGAATGAAGGTTGCGGAGATGAGGATGCTCAGGTGGATGTGCGGGCTCACCAGGTTAGATAGGATTAGGAATGAAGTTATTCGGGAGAAGGTGGGGGTGGCCCCAGTAGATGAGAAGATGCGGGAAGCGAGGCTCAGGTGGTACGGGCATGTACGGAAGAGAAGCCTCGATGCCCCGGTGAGGAGTTGTGAGCGGCTGGCGGTGGTTGGCGCGAGTCGAGGCAGAGGGAGGCCCAAGAGGTATTGAGGAGAGGTGATTAGGCAGGACATGGCTAGAATGCGGATTTCCGAGGACATGACCCTTGATAGGAAAGTCTGGAGGTCTAGTATCAGGTTTGTAGGATAGGGGCTTCTAGAATTTTTCGTACTTCTGTCCCGGGGCTGGGGGGGGGGTTGGTAGGGCTCTCCATAGATAATCTGTGTATTGTATTGTGCCCCCTTATGGTAGTTACTGGTCGATATATTTGCATGCCATTTTATTTATGGTTTATGTTTAGATAATTATTTATGTGATTTCTGCTGGAATTACTAATGCTCTTTTGTTTTTTGTTTTTTGTTTTTGTTTTCCTTTTTCTTTTCCTGAGCCGAGGGTCGATTAGAAACAGCCTCTCTGCCCTTTCGGGTAGGGGTAAGGCCTGTGTACGTATTACCCTCCCCAGACCCACCTTGTGGGACTATACTGGGTAGTTGTTGTTGTTGTTATCCTAAAAGCACAAGCAAGAGAGTTATGAGTTATGACTACAAAAAGGAAGGGCAGCCCAGCACACAAAGCATCTCGCGTTCACGCAGGGTTCGGGGAAGGGCTGCACCCCAAGGGGTGTGATGTAGGCAGCCTACCCTAATGCAAGGGTGAGTGGCTGATTCCAAGGTTCGAACCCGTGACCTATAAGTCACACGGAGACAAATTGACCGTTGCTCCAAGGCTCCCCTTCCAACTACAAAAAGGAAGTTCGACTAAAATTCTGAATCACCTGCACATTAGCTCCAGTCACTATATTAGGCTTATCGAAAGGTTTGCCTTCTGCTTTTCTTCTCGCCTGCCATTTGCGTTTGAAAGCAAGGCCAGCAAGCATGATTGCCTCTGATGAACCCACTGTACCAACTCCTATTGCGGTTTCATCGTCACCAACTGGAGCATGAAAAAGATGTGCTAACATGTTAACACACCGATTCTGCAAGCAAACAAAAGTTGAAGCATTCTGAATATCAAATTATTGACTTGAAAATATAACAAATAAAAAGGTATGCAATCAAGAAGAAAAAAGTACTACTCTCCTTTCATTGCAATTTATACACACTCTTTGTATGTGGACGTTCAGTATTCTTAACACAATCCCCTTACTATATACTCCCTTTATTCCAGTTTTTTGTGGCACTATTTCCATATTGCATGTTTAAAAAATGATAAATTTCTGTATTCGAAAATGATTTACTACTTAACTTTAAACTACTACTCATTTACCCTAAAATGGCATGCTTTTATGAAATCTCATGTCACATCTAAGACCATAAGTTCCAAAAGTTAGTTTTTTTTTTTTTGGGTAAAATTCCATGCCTGTCAACTACCTGCCACATAAATTGAAAATGAAACGAAGGGACTACTAATTACTACTATTAACTTTCAGAGTTCAAATAACTATAAGTATCTAAATTTTAACTTTGATATGATTTTACTTATCAAACTAACTTTTCAACTAATATAACACTATAGTTAATATAATATACATATGTTTAATTATCCGTGTCCAGTCAAACATCACCATGTAAAACGCGACTAAGAAGTAACAAAGAGTGCAGAAAGAAAGGGAATAAATTACTGACCTGAAGTTCAGTGGTAACAGGGTACTCATCCATGTCAACATAGTTCTTATTAATGGAAGACATAATAAGCTTGTCGCACTCGGGCTCCATCCACGTGCTAACAAAGGAGGCTAGATTCAACCTTGGGTTACCATCCAACATAAGCTCATCGTTAACAATCTGAAAAGCGGCGTCCTTGGGCATGGACTTGACGGGGATCTTGAACTTAGGCAAAGATTCTTGTACATATCTTGACGCAAATGTACAGTGCAAGTTCTCGTTTGAGTCACTAATCGACGTCGTAGTTACCACCATTTTTTTTTCCAATCTGTTTTCTGCAATCTGCTCTGTAAGAGAATTGGGGAAAAGTATAGAGTGCTGATTGATCGGAGAAAATGGGGAATAAATAAGTGTGTGATTAGGGGATGGTTAAATATGGGAGTGACACGTAGTGCGCAGTGGCGGTTGGAAATAGGGAAGAGTTCCCCACCTGCTGCTTTTAATATAGTACTCTACAACAGAACTGACGTGAAGGATTTGCCGATGCTTTTTTTTTTCCCTAATCTAAATTATTTTTAGTTGTACGTGGAGATCAGGAAACAGCGGGATGAAAGGAGAGTCTTTTGCTATAATGTTTTTTTTTTCTTCTACTTCTGTGTCGGGGTATGACTATTGTGATAGTGTTTTTTCATAGACAGCTAGTAGTTAACATTGTGTTTATATTTCCTCCGTTTTAATTTATGTGAACATATTTGACTGGGTACGGAGTTAAAAAGAAAAGAAAAGATCTTTGAACTTGTGGTGTAAAATAGGCATATATATTTTGTGTGGCTATAAATCCCTGCATAAAAGTAAATTGTTTCCAAATAGGGAAAAATGTCATTCTTTTTGGCACAAATTAAAAAGGAAATAAGTTCACATAAATTGAAACGGAGGAGTTATCATTTTTCCATTTTTATAGTACCGTGCCATTAGTACTAGTTATTGTTATTGCCTTTTACATACCTCTCAATAACAGCATCCCTATATAACAATCATTCACTACAAAAGCCAAGTTTTCCTCAGAACCGATTTTTTAAGTTATATTTTACGTCTCTATAACAACTTTTTACCTATAACAACAACATCCATATTTATAGCAGAACGCTCTTTGTAAAATTACCCATATATAACAGCCATATAGAATCTTTAAGATTAGTAATAGTAATTCTAAAAATATGCACACAATCTTTTCCATTAAACAAAGTTTCTATCTTGCATAAGATATAAGATTTGAAGCTTTGCACATGATATATTTTCCATTGGACAAATTTCGAAAAATATCTAGATAAAAATTTTAATTGTTTAGCTCTTAGATTGTCTTCAAAGGAAAATTATTAGATACTGTAGGCATATAAATTTTATAGGAATTAAAATTCGTAAAATAATTTGGTCTATATTTTAAATTGAAGATATATTAGTTCAAATAAATTTATTGGGCTAATATAATTGGATTAGTTATATAAGTACAATATATATGGATTAAATAACTAAGCCTGAATCCATTGGGCTAACCCATTTAAGGCTACAAGTAATAAGCCCAATTCATTAGGCCTAAGATGTCATCTTCCTAGAGACCCAATTTGGTGCTACGTGTCAAATGACGTGGCACGCCAAGTCAAACATAAGAGCCAATAGGATCATTCCAAGTGTCAAAGTGACGAGGCATGCCAAGCCAAATTAAAAAGCCAATGAAACCGCACCACGTGTGCAAGTGATATGTTCAGGCCAACCAAATGCGGCCTTATCACACTTCAATTTGAATGGTCGGAAAGGGTTTGTTCTTATCATAAATCTTCCCTCCCACAACTATAAATAGGGGTCTTCATAACCCATAGAGACACCAGAAGTTATAACAAGAAGCAAGAGAGAGCTCGTGGATCAAACGCCGCAAATTTCTCTACAAGTTGCAAGCTTCAAGCAGTTAAGTTCAAGTTCAAGAAATCAAGTTCAAGAACGAAGAACAAATCAAGTTCAAGCTCAAGAACGAAGAACAAATCAAGTTCAAGATCAAGAACGAAGAACAAACCAACATTCAAGGAGTACGAGTTCAAATCAAAGTTCGTGCTAGTTGAATTCAAGATCATCGTTCGTGGCAACAATTACATATTCAAGATCAAGCTCGAAGGCCCTTGAATTTATTTACTATTGGAAAGAAGAATCAGAGGATTCATAGAGATTGTACACTCAAATATTTGAAATCAAATACTATGATTGTTACAATATTTTTAGGTCCTGATTTTATTTTCACGACGGAATTTATTGTCTACAAATTCTGGCACGCCCGGTGGGACAATCTCTACCTCTCAACTCAACTTTTCAATCACCAAAGTTCAAGAACATTAAAATGGCTTCAAAGAAAATCAACTCGAGTTCAACTTCCACCAAGGCTGCTAATTCCAGGTTCTATGCTGATGTGGAAAGCATCATCCATGTTACTTTTGGAAGCTTTGGACCAGTTACGAGGAGCAAAGCAAGCTCGTTAGGACAACAAGCACCCCAAGTGCCGTCCGCATCAACCCCTATTTTCGGATCTTCATCCTCAAAAGGAGCAAGATCTTCCACAAACGTACCCGAAGGAGGAAGCGATGTTGCTGAAAAGATCAAGAAAACTCTTGCTCTGCTTGACCTCTCCGGATCCAAGCACTCTGTTGTGAAGGGAAGTGATGATGCTTTAAGTGATGGATCATCCCTACTTACACCACATAGAGTGAGCTAATCGAGGATCAATCTGTGTGACAATCATGCTACTCTCCATCGTCCACGACAATCATGCAAGCCATTATGACAAATACTTCATCTGTGGAAGAGCAGTTGGCAAACTTGACGGAAGCAATTGCTGGCTTGACCAAGTGCACGCAAAATCAAGATGCTAGAATCGACAAGCTAACAGATAGGGTGGGAATCTTGATGGAAGAAGAATCCACCCACGCAGTTCCAGAGAGTGATTCTCCCCCAAGACAAGTAGCATCCGCTAAGGCTATCCTTGTCTCATCTGAAGGGATGGTTCCAATCGATCAACTGAAGGAGTTCATTGAAGGAACCATTAAGAACAAGTATGAAGTTTCTGCCAAGTCCTCCCTTACATACGCAAAGTTGTACACTGCAATGATCGATATGTTGAAGATGCTTGTTGGCTATCAACCTCCAAAGTTTCAACAGTTTGATGGTAAAGGCAATCCAAAGCAACATGTAGCGCACTTTGTTGAGACATGCAATAAGGCTGGGACTTATGGAGATTACCTTGTCAAATAATTTGTCCGCTCGCTAAAAGAAAATACTTTTGATTGGTATACAGACCTCGAGGCGGGATCTATTGGTAGTTGGGATCAACTAGAACAAGAGTTCCTCAATCGTTTTTATAGCACAAGGCGCACTGTGAGCATGGTGGAACTCACAAATACTCATCAACGGAAGGGTAAACCAATTATCGACTTTATCAATTGTTGGAGGAATGCAAGCCTCAATTGTAAAGACAGGCTTAGTGAAGCTTCTAGCATAGAGATGTGCATCCAAGGCATGCATTGGGGATTGGGCTACATTTTGCAAGGTATTAAGCCTAGCACATTTGAAGAACTTGCAACTTGTGCCCATGACATGGAATTGAGCATGGCCTCCGCTGGAAATGAAAGGCCGCCCATCTATGAACCTCGCAAAGGGAACGACAAGCAAGAAGTTAGGAAGTGGGGCAAGTTCGTACCCAAGTCTGAAAAAAAAAAAGCTATGACTATCAACACGTCACTTGTGAGGTTCAAGACGAAGGTGAGCAAGAAGCAGGGTATGAAATCCACTTCTTTTCAAGATAAGCCAAGTGGAAAGTTGACTCTAAAAGAAATGCAAGCGAAAGAGTACCCATTTCTAGATTCTGATGTGCCAGCCAATTTTGAAGAACTCCTCGAGTTAAATCTCATTGAGCTTCCGGACATGAAGCGGCCAAATGAAGCTGGGAAAACTGATGACCCAAATTACTGCAAATACCATCGACTTGTGAGACACCCTTTGGAGAGGTGCTTTGTCTTCAAGGACAAAGTTATGGACTTGGCTCGTGAAAAGAATATCGTGCTTGAAGATGAGAAAGCAAGCACAAACCAAGTCTCAATGACATTTGACTCATTCAGTCCAGATGAATTATTTAGTTTTAAAGAAAGTAAATATGAAGAATTACTGGAGAACAACAAAGTTGAACACGATCAACCTGATGATGATGAAGGTTGGACATTGGTGACTCGTCGTAGGCGCCATAAAAGAAGTCCACGAAAAGAACCAATATAACAACCAACAAGGAAAATGATGGTAAAAAGACCAAGGAGATGGAATCCAGCTAAGCACTTAAAGAAAGCAAAAGTGGAGGTGAACCACTCTCAGAAGCTACGAAATCCAGTGACCTTGGAGGAGTTTTTACCAAGTTGGTTCCGCACGAAGATTTCCCATGGGGGCATCGATGCCTCTTGTTGCCATGCTGACGAAGGGGAAGAAAAGAGTGATGACCTACCGTTGGCACCATCTTCAGTAAAGCTCATCGAATCCACTCCTCAAGAAGTTAATTCTTGTGAGGAAAAAGTCACGTTCACAAATGGCAATCTTCTGCTAGGTGAAACTCTCCATAACCGCCCATTTACCTGCTTGGCTATAAGCGTGATGAAAGGGTAAATCGAATTTTGGTTGATGGAGGATCCTCAATGAACATTTTTCCAATTTGCACTGTGAAAGAACTTGGTATTCCCATGAACGAACTCTCAGAAAGTCGTGTGATGATCCAAGGATTCAACCAAAGGGGGACAAAGAGCCATAGGCGCGATCAGGCTGGAAATCATCATTGAAGATATGCAATCAAGTGCATGGCTGCATGTGATCGATGCAAAGACTTCATAAAGTAACTTGCTTGGAAGGCCTTGGATACATGAGAATAAAGTGGTTCCATCTACCTACCATCAATGTTTAAGATACTACAAAGGTGAAGTCAAGAAGAAGATAATTGCTAACGACGAGCCATTCACCGAGGCTGAGTCACACGTAGCCGATGCAAAGTTCTACTTGAAGAACCGCATTGTGAAGGAGCTAAAAGCTGATGATGTTATGAATGACAAGGATAATGAGTACACGTCTAAGAGAGCTGAGGTGGTTGCCGACAAAACCAAAGTTGTTGCTGAGAAGGTACACCCCAACCCAAATAAGTCTCATAAAGGGAACATTGTGTCTCACGGCAAGAAAGTAACCCCCCCCCCCCTCCAGTACGTCCCTAAAAAGAAGAAAGATCAAGATGAATCATCTAATCTCCAAACTAACATCATAAAGGGGTTAACACTTCCGGTAAAATGAATTGAGGAAGTAAAGTCATCCTCAATGCTGCTTGCAGGGTTTGTGGCCCAAAATCGTTTGCAGAATGTGGCACTCCCTACAAAGCGAACAGATGAAGG